GGGGGGGGGGTCTGACACCAGGATTTCAGAACTGGTTCTTGTCTTTTGTCGATTTTCAAGCCAGAACCCAATGCAGAACTTTGGAAGACCCATCCGGAATACCCGTGTTGCTCCAACTTAGTAGCTTAGATGTTGCCCCTATTCTAGCGAGTTAGATTTCTTCTATTATATGAAGCGGAGCCGCTACCGTCACTGGGAGATTGAGGCTCATAGGAATCTCGTGATGTTGAGGGATTAGGGTTGAGGGTTTANNTAGGTTCAGACATTCAGGCGATTGCACAAGCCCTGATGCAAAAAAGGGCTATGGGAGGGTTTGGGGATTAGGAGCGTGGAGCATCCTTGTCTGTTCGGAGTCTCGGTGCGGTTGGGAGTTGGGAGACGCGTGACATCCTCATGCTTTTGAGAGACCGCACGAGCAGAATCAATTGCGACCGTATAGACACGCCAGGATACACATGAATTTGGCTAATTTGGCTTTTCGTAGAGAGAGCGCACATCACGTGCAGACATGCATGCCGTTTTCACGCTCGTGCATGCACATGGGCTACCTCTGCTATGTTCCAAAATCGTGCAAGCCCGCCCTCATTGCATTCGCTCTGACCATCACCAGAGCCATCATCTCCAGCATCACCACCACCATCATCATCGTCAGCATCGTATTTTCATCACCAGCCACCATGATGATGAGAAGCTCGTCTTTACCATGACGTGTGCCAGCGTATGGGGCAGCCGAGGAAAAGCCAGACACTCACAGGTCTCGACAGTATGAGTACATGTTGCTGAAGCCTCTCGGTCGCGACCCCTTTGGCCGGTCAATTCCCTCCAATAGGTTTCGGGTTTAGGGTTTAGGGTTTAGGGTTTATTCGTTTTTTGCAGTAGCAGCGAGCAGAGAACTCTTCTGATCAAAGACCCGGTGACTATAGGTGTCGGGTTGATGCGCAGTCAAGAAACACCTTCCTGAGCTAGATGCTGCTGCCAGGCATCGTCTTTACCGTTTCATTGCAGTCCGTTGGGTTGTTACAGTTGTGTGGGATGGAGCCTGGTCCGTCGGTTGGGGGATTTTGCAGAGACTTGACAGAGCTTCTCTTGCCTGGGGGCCCAACCCTAGTCCTTCGGCCCAGCCCACACATCCCAAACGAGCGCCCAGGAATGGACTGCAAGTTGTACTTGCGTCTGATCCCACATGTGACAAAGCAGCGATGGCTCTGTGCCCGGACCTATCGGGGGGGACGCATCTGGTCAAACACGCATCGGGATCGCGTATCTGTTCAGAGACCGCAGTGTAATTACCAAAGTCTTGAACCGGAAGCAGGTCATCTTGGATGTTGTAATCAATGTGAACCTGTTCCGCACAGTTTTTGCAAGCTCTCATATTCGCTCTTCCGCGCTCCTTTGGCCTACTGTCGGATGAAATTTTTAAAACCTAGACCCCGACCGGACAACTTTATATAACCCAAAACCCTAAACCCTAAAGCCCAAAAAACCCTTAACCTAAACCCTGCGCCCCAAGTCCGTTGCCGTGTCGAGTCGATTGAACCCTGCCTTGTCCTGTCGAGTGTGTGGGAGCCGCAGCCTTCCTCTGGGAGTTTCCGAAAAAAAGGGGTTTAGGGTTCAGGGTGTTAGGGTTTAGGGTTTAGGGTTTAGGGGTACCAGATTTCGGGATCCTTATAGCAAGGTTCCTATTATTTAGGGTGCTATATTAGGGTCCCCTATTTTCGGAAACCCCCAAAGGACCTCATAAGCCCCAGACTGCCAGAACCGTCCCTAAGCCCGTTTATCAAACTCGCGTGCCAACGGAACGCTCGCCGTCCGAGAGAGGCCCACTTTTTGGTCTGGCTTCCTACCCACTTTGCGGGAGACCTAAAGCTGAATGGCTGGCCGATACATGTTGGTTGGGTCCTACAACGCAGTATACGAAGCCGGGGCCGGAGCTTCATAGATGTCATCTGCATCTTCTCTGCTGCAAGCATCGGCAACACCGCTGCCCAGTGCCTACTGGCCACCGTCGTCATCGTCATCACCATCATCATCATACTCTGTTCTTCATCTGCTACGGCATCATGATCATCTCCCGAATTATCGCCAACTTCCTAATCGCCATCATCATCTGCGCCGGCAGAGGCACCATCATGACGCCACACAGCCCTGGTCAGGAAGCCAAAGTTGACAAGGCTCCTGAAACCTTTCGAAGGTAGTCAGTCATAGTCTTCAGGGAGACTAGCCGGCCATAACAGATCGACACCTCCAGCAGACTCTGGTAACCCTGAGCCTGCAGCTTGTCTTCACCCGTAGCTCTAGAGCCGATATTAGAGGGCTTAAACCAACAATCATGGAGAACCTCCAGCCGGATGAGATAGCAAGAACCTTCATGGGTAGTTTTCTAAAGTAGGGTCCCTTTTTTGGGGGTCCTTTGTATAAGGGTGCCGTACTATATTGGGGACCTAAAAAGGGACCCTAATTTAGAGAATTACCCTCATACTTCATGACCCCAGGAGGCATCCCTCTCTCCAGCCCTACAAACCCTAAACCCTCCACTCAAAACCTTACCTCCCCTGATCATGAGGTGCGTCGGTGTGGGGCGACTGCACGAGCCAAAAGACATGCCGGGTTTGGCGCACTTCTGCGAGCACATGCTCCTTGCTTCAACCTACCCTCACCTGGGTTGCTATCGAGGTTGACTTAGGTTACCCAGAGGGTCCGAGTACCCAAATAGTAAGGTTTTAGGTCCCAAAAACCATTCAGAGTATGGATTTTGGGACCTAAAGCCTTACTATTTGGGTACTCGGACCCTCTGGGTTAGAGGTTTTGATGCCACAACGACAGCCAGAGGCGGCAGAACCATATTTCGAGATTTGTGCAGGGTGTTCCGAGTTCAGGGCTCAGATTTACAAAGTAATGAATCCCGCCCCAGCCACGAAATCTACAGCCCTAAACCCCTCACGCTTACCCTGAAACCTGAAGCCTGAAAATGCTCCGCCTGCTCGCGAAAACTTTGGGGGACTGCCTGTAAACCTCGCATGTCCTTCTTCTCATGTGTGATTCATAGTATCGGGACCTTAATAATTCGAACAGGGTTTTGGGGCCCATTATACTATATAAGGATAATCAGGAACACTAAAAATAGTATTGGTATTTATTTAGGCCCCGACAGTACATGGGTTGGAGAGCTCAGGGTCATCGGACCTGTACACCTTTTGGGCTCTAGGAGAAGGGTCCGTCTAGCTGGGGTTGTTCAAGGGTCCATGCCTGCAAAGTTGAAAAATTGGCTTTGCAGTTGCTCATTCTGTAGAAACCCCTGTGCAACCAAAGTGTATCCCCAGCCCTAGCCCTAAAATTAAAGCCCCTGTACCTTATTCTATGCGCGCTGAAACCTTATGGTATACAGGTACTAAACCCTAAACCCCAAACCCAAAGCCCCGGTACATGGGCCCTCCCGGGCCGTGGTCCCAACCAAGAGCTCCTTCATATCAGGTACGGAGACCCCTTGTCTGAGAGGAAAAGTGCGAACTACGGCCCTGTACGACACAAAATCCTGGGGTTTTTTGTGGAGGAATGTAATGGAAGCTACCATGAGAGAGACACCGTATGGTTTACTGTAGATCCCTATTGTGATGACTTAGATAAAGTTCCTTAACAAGAAGCCAGAATCGCGGCAAACAAGTCCGAATCTCACCGGCATTGAAGAAGACCGACACAGCTTTACACTGCCCTATGGAGCCATCTACGCTAATCCCTAAACCCCTTAACCCTAAACCCCCAAACCCTAAACCCTAAACCGTAAACCCTAAACCCGCTTGACCCTAAACCCTAAACCCTAAGCCCCTTGACCCTAAACCCTAAACCAGCCGGCCTTGTGCGAGTGTGAGAGTCGAACCCCTAAACCGTAAACCCTAAACCCGCTTGACCCTAAACGGGTTTAGGGTTTCGGGTTAAACGCTTTTAGTAACTAGAATAGGTTCTGGGCGACATTATACTATAACTGTAATCTGGCACCCCCAAACCAGGATTGGTAATTAATTCGGCCCTTACCGATAGGCCCCATAGTAGTTCCTTTTTTATAGGATTCTAAATGCAAACCACAAAAAGGAACTGCAATGGGGTCTATGGATAACTAGGCCCCTATGTGAATCTTATTGGCTGTAAAACTCAACTTTTCAACTTTTGGGGT